TGCACAAATATGTCAAATTTTGTGAAGATGATGTCCATTTATCCATTGTCAAGCTCAACCTTATGGAAGATGTGGCAAACAAATCAAATAAAGATTTTTTATATTCACCATAAACTTTCATACATAACTTTGTGATTTGTGCATAACTTGGAACCTTGTGATTTGGACAAAGAGACTGCACATATTGTAAAAAGAAGTCATGTGTGACCAAGTTAAAAGGATACTCATGGACGATGATAGCTTTTGCAAGTAAAGTTTGACTCTTCTCATTGTCAAAATGATAATTACTAAGTGCACAAGTCCCATCTTCATTTTTTACGGGTCTCTTCTTTTTGGGGCACTTCATAATGTGATTTCTAATGTGTGTAGTCCCTCTTGAACTACGTCCATCACATTCAAACAAGCAATGTTTATATTTCGCTATCTTGATTTTTATTTCAACTTCTTTCCCATCGACAATTTTCTTTTCAACTCTATCAATTTTCTCAAAGTCTAACCATACATTAGAAGTTAATTTTTTCCCCTTTTTCTCGACTTTTTCCTCTGTTTTATTAGAAAACTCTTCTATTGCGGGTTCAATGGCCGGTTCAACTGTGGGTTCTTCGTTAGAAGCTTGAACTGATGGATTAGGCGACATGATCCTAATACCTATTCATTGAAATTTATGAACTTAATCAAACAAAAAATATAATGATGCAAATTACAACAAATGCTTGAACTGTGGGTTTTTCAAATCACTCAACAAATGCTAGAAATTAGGATATCAAAAAAATTAGGGCTTAGGGTTTTTGAATTATACCAAATTAGGGCTTGAACTGTGGGTTTTTCAACGACGCGGAGGAGGAGGCGAAGCGCGACGTGGAGCACGACGCGGAGGCGGAGCACGACGCGGATCTCTGGAGGCGGAGCTCGATGCGGAGCACGACGCGGAGCTCGACGCGGAGGCGGTGCACGACGTGGATCTCTGGAGGCGGAGCCCGACGCGGAGGAGGAGGCGGAGCCCGACGCGGAGGATCGGAGCTGCTTAGGGTTTTGGGAATTGGGGAGGCGGAGGATCGGGTTGAGTTGAGATTTTTGAGCAGATAGGGTTTGGGAATTGGTAGGGTTTTTTGAGTTTTAAACGGGTCGGGTTGTGGATTTTGAGTTTGACCCAACCCAATGTGTTATAATTTATAAACCAGTGTTATATATATAGCCCATTTTAAATATCCGGATATCCGGACCGTATACGTAATTTCGACCCGATAACCGTATCCGGATAAAAAATCTAAACCGTAACCGTTTCCGAAACCATATCCGACCGGTTTCAATTTTTCCTTACCATATCTGCTTTCCAAATGGATACGGTTACGGTCGGTCCGGATAAATCCGGACCAGCTTGCACCCCTAGATAAACTATTATAGTGTCACTTCTGACCGACGTGATGTCCATTGCAACAACGGACAGGTGTCACCAATTAATTTTTGGGTTTTTTTAGATATTAGTCTCTTAAATCCTCAATAACTGATATTAGTTCCTCTATTAAAAATTTCATATTGCTCCCTTAAATCCTATAGGGTCTTGCAAAATGGTCCATGTGTTAGTTTTTCAGTTAAAAAACCTAACCAGTGTTGGGTTAACTCTTAACCCCAACATCTACAATCATCAAACTACCCCTCTCTAATGTTTTAAACTTTTGTGAAGCTCAACTTTGGCTTAGGACTCTTTTCTAGCTATATTAGAGAAGAAGAACATAATTTGGTTTGATTTTTTTAACGGGTATTGGGTTTAAACCCAATAAAAAATGAGTTTGGGGGCATAAAAGAGGGGTGAAACAGACACTTTGCCTCCAACTGTTATATTTGACAGAACATTCCTCTCAAATCTAATATGTATTAACTAGAAGGACCATTTTGCAAGGTCCTAGAATTTCAGGAACTACTATGCAATGTTTCAATATTCGAGAATCTAATATGCAATTATTACAGATTTTAGAGACTAACATCTTCTTAATCTTTTTAAGAAGAATGAACCGGAGTCTCAGATTGACCCTCAAATTTGTATGTGGAGATGTAGGTTAGAACGTTGTCTCTGGTTTGATATTTAGACGGTTAATTGCGGATAGGCCTGGTGCGAAGCCCAGACGTTATAAGAAGGTGATTTCAGCGAGATTCCGAGATGTAACTTCAACAACGCGGGTTTTTTTTTTCCCTTCCATAAAATCACTATTATAATATGTTTTCTAAAAGCTCAAAAAAGTTTTCTAAGCATGCGTTGAAGAGCTCCATAAAATCACTATTATAATATGTTTTCTAAAAGCTCAAAAAAGTTTTCTAAGCATGCGTTGAAGAGCTTTGGCCACTTTTAGTTCCTAGTTTTTTTCTAAAAGCTCAAAAAAGTTTTCTAAGCATGCGTTGAAGAGCTTTGGCCACTTTTAGTTCCTAGTTTTTTTTATTTATTTGTAGAAAATCGCTTATGTTGGGAAGTCTCTTTGTTTTAGAACTTGATAGTTAAGTACTTTTGCATTGTTTTATACATTATATAAGTGGGATGAATTTATATAGACTTTTAATCTTGGCTTATATTATCCAGAAGTTTGTGTTTTCTAGAGTTTGTGCTATCTTGCTAGTATGATAACGAATTGTGTCATTTCGGTTACGCTTCCGCTGCATCAAGATACCATTGATATGTTATGTGGAAATTACTACGCTCTGCTTTATTTTTATAAATATACCCCATATCGGAAAAAAATGGCTCTTGTACCCCTCAAAGGGTCTATTTGTCAAAGAAACAATTTTCTCATTCTCTAGTGTAAAATAGTCATAAAATTGAGTTCACTGAGGGGCAAAGTAAAACTAAAGGGGTTAGTAAATTCTAAAGCTGCTTAAATGGCTATTGGTAAAATTTGAACGACGTTATAAAGATGACTGCATATAACATTCCAAAAGATAAAAGTTAATTTATAATTTAGGAAATGGTTTTTATAGTGCCTTATGACAGGACAATCCATATTTTTTGCATGTTCGTCCCATGCAGTATTCATTTATTTTCTGCACTTAGCAATTTTTCCTATTGCAGCTTCTATGCTACAGAATATTTTGGGTCAACAAAAAGATTCTACTGCATCCTTTATTTTCAAATTTGTACTAGCTCTAATGGCAAGAGAGATCTTAGTTTGATAAAACTTTTTAGCAATTATAGAAAAAGCATAGTTCCCAAAATTCCATGTAATAGAAAGATCTTAAATTCAATGAAAACATCTGTAATGCTCTGATTTGATACCATCTTGAAGTCCCTTTAACCATTTCATATTGCTCCCTTAAATCCTATAGGGTCTTGCAAAATGGTCCATGTGTTAGTTTTTCAGTTAAAAAACCTAACCAGTGTTGGGTTAACTCTTAACCCCAACATCTACAATCATCAAACTACCCCTCTCTAATGTTTTAAACTTTTGTGAAGCTCAACTTTGGCTTAGGACTCTTTTCTAGCTATATTAGAGAAGAAGAACATAATTTGGTTTGATTTTTTTAACGGGTATTGGGTTTAAACCCAATAAAAAATGAGTTTGGGGGCATAAAAGAGGGGTGAAACAGACACTTTGCCTCCAACTGTTATATTTGACAGAACATTCCTCTCAAATCTAATATGTATTAACTAGAAGGACCATTTTGCAAGGTCCTAGAATTTCAGGAACTACTATGCAATGTTTCAATATTCGAGAATCTAATATGCAATTATTACAGATTTTAGAGACTAACATCTTCTTAATCTTTTTAAGAAGAATGAACCGGAGTCTCAGATTGACCCTCAAATTTGTATGTGGAGATGTAGGTTAGAACGTTGTCTCTGGTTTGATATTTAGACGGTTAATTGCGGATAGGCCTGGTGCGAAGCCCAGACGTTATAAGAAGGTGATTTCAGCGAGATTCCGAGATGTAACTTCAACAACGCGGGTTTTTTTTTTCCCTTCCATAAAATCACTATTATAATATGTTTTCTAAAAGCTCAAAAAAGTTTTCTAAGCATGCGTTGAAGAGCTTTGGCCACTTTTAGTTCCTAGTTTTTTTTATTTATTTGTAGAAAATCGCTTATGTTGGGAAGTCTCTTTGTTTTAGAACTTGATAGTTAAGTACTTTTGCATTGTTTTATACATTATATAAGTGGGATGAATTTATATAGACTTTTAATCTTGGCTTATATTATCCAGAAGTTTGTGTTTTCTAGAGTTTGTGCTATCTTGCTAGTATGATAACGAATTGTGTCATTTCGGTTACGCTTCCGCTGCATCAAGATACCATTGATATGTTATGTGGAAATTACTACGCTCTGCTTTATTTTTATAAATATACCCCATATCGGAAAAAAATGGCTCTTGTACCCCTCAAAGGGTCTATTTGTCAAAGAAACAATTTTCTCATTCTCTAGTGTAAAATAGTCTTAAAATTAAGTTCACTGAGGGGCTGCAAAGTAAAACTAAAGGGGTTAGTAAATTCTAAAGCTGCTTAAATGGCTATTGGTAAAATTTGAACGACGTTATAAAGATGACTGCATATAACATTCCAAAAGATAAAAGTTAATTTATAATTTAGGAAATGGTTTTTATAGTGCCTTATGACAGGACAATCCATATTTTTTGCATGTTCGTCCCATGCAGTATTCATTTATTTTCTGCACTTAGCAATTTTTCCTATTGCAGCTTCTATGCTACAGAATATTTTGGGTCAACAAAAAGATTCTACTGCATCCTTTATTTTCAAATTTGTACTAGCTCTAATGGCAAGAGAGATCTTAGTTTGATAAAACTTTTTAGCAATTATAGAAAAAGCATAGTTCCCAAAATTCCATGTAATAGAAAGATCTTAAATTCAATGAAAACATCTGTAATGCTCTGATTTGATACCATCTTGAAGTCCCTTTAACCATTACACCAGAACTCCGAAGTCGGAGTAAGAATTGAAGATTATCATTTTATATTCTAATTTTATAACACATTCTCAGATAGGCTTGCACACTCTCGTCATCTCAGGAAAAGAATTAATTCTAACGAAGAATGCATGAGTTCACAAGTAACTATACTTCATTACATAAGTAATGACAGAAGAGTATTTTACCTCTGTCTGCGCACTAATATGATATCATTTCAAGAGGAACAAATTTTTGGTTAATATGTTGAAAAATACAAGCCAAGCCAAGTCCTAGTACATGTAGTCCTGTGTTTTAGTATCATCGATCCTTTTTCCCGAGTCGTTGCCTTCTCTTCCGAGCATTCTCTTGCTCATGTTGGCTCTCTGCACCAAGCGAACCAACGCTTGTACTACTTCGGACATGGGTGGTCTAAATTCTGGCTCCGGCTGTTACAACAAAAATGCTTGAGGTAAAAAATCGAATTTGTTTCAACTAATGATACAAGAAGGAACACAGGCTTAAAAGCTTACGTTATATAAAGAAAAGAGTAAATTTCACAAAGCTATCAAACTTGGGTGTTTCGCACAAAACTACCATAAACTTTGTCTATCCGAGAAATGTAGCATGTATTTGTTTTCTGTAAACAATCATGTCTGACGTCAGTTATAGGGTAAATGTTCATGTAAAGAAGCGATATGGCGAGATAGTTTGCTTAATACATGTATTTGTTTTCTGTAAACAATCATGTCTAACATCAGTTATAGGGTAAATGTTCATGTGAAGAAGCGATATGACATCAGTTATAGGGTAAATGTTCATGTGAAGAAGCGATATGGTGAGATAGTTTGCTTAATGTGAGATGTCCATTCTGAACTGTTAGATTATATATATAGAGAGAGAGATTAATGGGTATCCTTGTCATAGGAGGGGATTTCCTCCTTAACGCCTCTAAAATCACATGATTGAGCGACATTGTGGATGATCCGCTCCGTTGAACTTGATCTACATATTCTAAAACCCCAACACACCAAGTTTGGGGTGAACCCGTCGTCGTTTAACCCTTCATCCACTCGTATCAATTTTAACGGTTTTGAATGAATAGAACTTTTCACATGGCTCGATGGAGGGTCAAACGACGACGGATTCACCCCAAACTTGGTGTGTTGGGGATGGATTACTTAATGTGAGATGTCCATTCTACACTGTTAGATTCAAATTAATGGTTAGATTTAAACTAGGATAATTTTTTTTAAAACGTCCTATTTGGACATTTAATCCCAAAACCAGACCTATTTGGCTTTTATTTTTAAAAACCGACCTGGTTTCAGCCTCAGCGTTGAAACCAGGTCGGTTTTTGTTAAAAAACTTCACAAACTTCACGGGATTTGAAGTCCCGTGAAGTTTGGAAGTTCAAAAAATCTTCATGAGACTTTAAGTCCCGTGAAGTTTAGCAGCTTATCAAAATAGCTGCTAAACTTCACGGTGCTTAAAGTCTCGTGAAGTTTGTAAAGTTTTTTCACAAAAACCGACCTGGTTTCAAAGCTGAGGCTGAAACCAGATCGGTTTTTCAAAATAAATGCCAAATGGGTTGGTTTTTGGGATTAAATGTCCAAATATGATGTTTTCGAAAATTTGTCCTTTAAACTAAGAGGTTAATTAATTAAAGAAATGTAGGCCCCACATTTTATTGATCCATACCAAATCTTCTCTAACCAAAACCCGAACCCAAACCCAAACACGAACCCAAACCCATTAACCCTAACCCTAACTCGAACACGAACCCGCTAACCCTAACATGTACCCTAATCCGAACCCTAACCCGAATCCTATCCCTAACCTCAAACCCGAACCCACTAACCCTAACCCAAATCTATTCTTTTATACAAATGGGAGAAACAAAGAGTCACTGTTCATGCTACAGTAAATGCTACAGTAAATTTACTGTAGCAGCTGAGAAATTAAAAAAGCCACTGTAGCAGATCGGTTACTGTAGCAGCTCGGGAATGGCACTGTAGTAGTCGAGTTACTGTAGCACCCCAGAAAATTCAAACCGGGAGAGTTTAAAAACGGCGGGAACACTGTAGCAAAAAAAAAACACCGTGCTGCGCACGGGCTGCACACTAGTAAGAAAGAGAAGAGACAAAAGGGAGGATATGAGAAATCATAGAGAAGATTTAGTAGGGAAATCAAATAAATGTGGAAGCCACATATTTTTTAATTAATTAACCTATTAGTTTAAATCTAACCATTAATTTCAATCTAACAGTGTAGAATGTCCATCTCACGTTAATCAAACCATCTTCAAATCTTAAATGATGTTAACAACCTTTGTATTTTTCCAGAGTTTAAAAGTTCCCTGTAGTTCTTTGTCATAAAAAAATTATAGATTTTTTGTGCAAAACCAACCATATTTCATGGTAGTTTAGTGAACTTAACCCTAAAGAAAAAGTCATCTATTCCTTTATACAAAAGGGAAAACCAGAGAGTCACTGTAGCATTATTACTGTAGCTGATAAATAATAAAAACGTACTGTAGCGCATGGGTATACTGTAGCATTTCAAAATAGTACTGTAGCAGGCGAGATACTGTAGCATTCCCAGAAAATTCAAATCAGGCATGTTAAAAAAGAGGGATTACTGTAGAAAAAAAAACCCGTGCTTTGCACGGACAGCAGACTAGTTCAAGTGAAGCATTAATTTTCAAAATGTTAAACTTCATGCTGGAATTCAGTGCTGAATCTTTAAAGTAACGAGTATCCTCTAATCACCTGTTTGCCGATCATCCACACTCCTACTTTTGGTTTACATTTTCTTGCTTCTAATTTTTCCTCTATTTGTAGTGTTCTTGGTATCTTTTTATGCTCATTCAGCTGAGGTAAGACCTATATACTTCCAATCTTTTATTTTAATAGTTAACATTCTGGTTGATACAGTCAAGCTGTGCATTTCCTAAAAAGCTCAAAGTGCAAGAATACGGGATACCTGAACACAGAGGGCAACCACGTCAGCAAACCGAGAAAGAGATTTTCCAGGATACAGCCCCTGTAGAGCCGGGTCAACCATCTTATCCAAAGCATCAATGTCATGGAGCTGAGGAGCTGCCCATCGAACTAAGGACTGCTCTGACCATGGCCTTGTGCTGTTAGAAATTACCCATAATAGTTACAACAGGGAATAACAAATCCCTTCATTTGTTTAAATAAAAAGTGGTAATGCAAGTAAAAATAATAGTTACAACAGGGAATAACAAATCCCTTCATTTGTTTAAATAAAAAGTGGTAATGCAAGTAAAAACGCCAAAATTACCTATCAAAAGGTTTTCGCCCAGTTAACAGTTCAAGCATGACTACACCAAAGCTATAAATGTCACTCTTCAACGTGTATTGACCAGACATGGCAACCTCAGGGGCACCATATCCAGATGCCATGTTATGATCCAATGCCTGGAATCAATAAGAAAATATCAGAGAAAATAGTGAGATGTGGTAGATAGCAATGACATGGAACCATGATTTAGCATTACCTGATATTCTGCATCAGGGATGAGGCTTGCAAGACCAGAATCTGAAAGGTGAGGGTTGAGCTCCATGTCCAATAAAATGTTGGCTGATTTGAAATTTTTATGTACAAATGATGGAGAACAAACTTCATGAAGATACCTGGAGATAGCATCGTTTGCAGTCCCATAAAAAAAATTAGACTCATTTCTCATGGTCAAAAAGAGCAAACACCGATTAAAGCATTTATACATTAATTATTGGTTTCATTTTAAAAAAAAGTTTGCAGGATCTATATGCAAGAATGGTTTTTCTTTCACAAATAGACCTCCTTAGGGTAAAAGAGTCACAACAACAATAGAATTACAGGGGGTCTATCCACAACTAGATGATAGTACAGGGGCTCTATCTGCAATTAATTCAAAAATAAAAAATAAAATAACTAGTTTACTTACTCTAGTGCTCTTGCAGTACCAAGTGCAATCTTGACACGAGTGTTCCAACTCAACAGTTTGCTGTCTTCATCAGAGAGGTGAAGCAGATCATGCAGCGAGCCATTCTTCTGAAACTCATACACCAGCAAGTGTTGTCCATGTTCAGAACAATAGCCAACCAGTTCCGTAATATTTGGATGGTGCAACAGTGAAATGTTTGAAACTAGATCAATGAAGTCCTCAGAGGAGTTGCTGGGCAAGGCAGAAGAGTTTATTTTCTTCACAGCCAGAACCTACAAATACAATCAAGGCATAAATGCATATTCACCTCTTTCACACCATGTACAAATTATTCAACATTCACCTCTTTCACATTACTACCACATATAAATTACCCACACAGGACGGGACTTTATATGGAGGAACTAAACATTATAAATCTTCTTTATGGGAAGACTGAAACATCAGTCCCACAGGGGAAAACAAACTTAAGAAAAGGGTTGGCTGCAGATAAGACTGTGTTATCACCAAATTCAACTTGCTCTCCTTACAGTTTTATTGTTGCAGATAGACTCCTTAGAGGGTTCTATTATTCAAAAAGGAACCCCTCAGCAAATATCTATTGTTGCATATAAACCCCCTGAAAAGGGTATAAAAAATCCACTCAGGGGTCTATCTGCAACAATAGAGCTACAGAGGTAGTAAGTTCAATTTGGCGAAAGTACAGGGTGGAATATCCGCAATTAACCCTTAAGAAGAAGTATAAACAAATGAGAGGGATATTGCATTCTTTTAGTTTTCACATCAGTCAAATCCAAAACCAAATTCATTACACTTGCCATAGCAAAAAGTAAAACGAGGCAAATTTTGTATTTTCTAACTTTCAGCTACACAATTTTCACTATAGTTATCTCATAAATTAGCATGTTGCTTTTTTAGCTTCTGAAGATCAGATTTTTAAAAGAAGACCATTATCAGGCGTTAAATCTATAAATAATAACAGGAAAGAATCTCAAATTGAAAGCAAAACTTTAAAAAAACATACCTTTCCTCCATTGAATTGAGCCTTATAGACACGCCCAACAGACCCTTCACCAACAAGATTATCTAAGCTAAAACTATCCGTTGCCACTTGCAGGTCTGCTACTGAATATACAGTTGCTTTTATAGGAGCTGATTTAGTTTTCTTGGCAACAGGCTTGTTAGATAACTCATCTTCTACAAATGATTTATGCCGATCAATTGCAGGTGGTTTAAGGTTTACAGGAGCAGCTGGTGGAAATGACATTGTGTTAGTTGCATAGGATGTCCGGTTCAACTTCATCTCTGTAAAGTGCAATTATAGGTAAATTAGTTCATCAATCCATGTTATAGTTTTCAAAAGTTGAGGAAAGTTTTTAACATGATTTTGTTAACTGAAATGAAGAATGATTTTCTAAATGCAATTTCAAATCTCGAACTTATCAACTATTTCTTCGCTGTAGCTTTTCAATACTTGAAAAAAAATCTTCCCGAGTTTAGTTTATTACCTGAAGGGTCCTTCATGAAATGTATTTCAGTACTCCTTTATCTAATCATATGTTAATATAAATACAGACAGAAGACACTGCCAAAATCAACCTAAATAAAATCTACCACTAAAATCGACCAAATTAAAAGATCAAATATTTTACCAAACAAGGCTAAGAAAACCAGTTTCTAGGAGCTAGTGATAAATATAAATACATCCCCAACACTAAATCACTGGACAACGGAAATGTAGATTTATTTGAGGAATACCATTACCTTTGGCTTCATTTGAAGCAAGAGGGGTGAAAGGCTGGTCTTGCTCGTGATGTCCTCTGATGGATGATTTCTGCTTTCTTCTCTTCACCAGGAAGAATGCAACTATTGCACCGACAACCAAAAGAGATATAATAATACCTGCTATGCCCCCGCCACCTATACCAGAACTCTTTTTGCCTCCTGATGGACCATCTTCGCCTCCAGAATTACTACCAGGATCAACTTTGCGGCTTGGTGGAGGGGTAAATGGGGGAGGGGGAGGTGCCGGCCCATTGTTCCATGAGTTGCCATCAGTCCTGTAAGTTGGTTCAGTCAGCAATAAAGAATAAGGATAAACTTAACAACCAACCCCCTCCCCCCCACCCCGCAACCCAGAATTTTGTAAGTCATATAAAGCCCCTGAAACTTGTCTCGTTTAAGTGCCACGTTTGATAATATTACTTTTAGTTGCCCGTGTGGCGCACATGACAACTTTTGGACAATTTTACCCCTGTCTACTAAATATAGCTTCTATATTATCCTTTTTGGGTAAGGGTAGGTAAAAAAAATAAAAGGGGTAGTTCAGACTTTTACCTCTATCTGTTAATTCCATTTATGAGAATTTCAAATAGTTCAGCTGAGTTCAGTATGATTTGAAAGTTCAGGAGGGTTTTCTATGGTGTATAAAGTTCAGTGGAGTTTTATGGAAAAGCCTTAAAGTTCAAGGGGATTAGTGAAATTTACCCTAAACAATATGTAAATATAATTTGGACTGCATGCTTTACCGTCACGTGCATTAAGTACTCACTGAAGATTATTGATCTTTTTCAACTGGTTAGGAATCCATCCTGAGAAATGATTGTTTGCGACATTCCTGAATCAAGAGTACATAATTACTGAATTCTGATGTCAAACTTTTCCTTTGCAAAAGAAATAATCGCAGATGGAGCAAAACATGTGCTTACAGGTCTTCAAGAGGGAGGCTTACAAGAACATTTATCGAACCAGTGAACTGGTTGTTTTGTAAATGACTGCATGGTAGCCGAATAGTCAATCAACAGTCTGTAGGTATAGTAGAGTTTAAATACAAGAATTGTTAATATTAAGCTTACAGGGTAGTCAAACTTGATAGTTGATTAAAGTTCTGTGGAAGATCACCCGTTAGAGAATTGAAGGAGAGATCTCTGCAGCACAAAAGCCAAATTTAGAAGGGTCTGTGGAAGATCACCCGTTAGAGAATTGAAGGAGAGATCTCTGCAGCACAAAAGCCAAATTTAGAAGGGCAAAAAGTGAAGATATATTTTGTAACCTTTAAAATGAAAAATTAAAAGAAATTACTGTGAGATGCATGCAGCAAATGTGCAGACAAATCAACAGCTAATATTAAGAGTTCGATCTGTTTGTCCTAATACCAATGACACTAGGTCATAATAAATAGGATTTAGTATCATACATATATTTCTCAAGCATTGCTACATGATTGTTAATTCATTAAAAGCACATTCTGCCTTGCTTTGCAAATAGTAAGCAATTTCGGGGGATAAGAGAGAAAGGAGCTTTTATTCACATTGTCTCAAGATTTGATCATGTAAGAGTTGTCCAAACAAATCAATTAAGATTCCCTGAAGCTGATTGTGAGCAAGATTCCTACCTTCATCATCAACTCGTTTTAACTGAAAAAATATCCAGATGAAAAGTACAAAAGATGACAATAAAAGTTCCCTTCATAATGATACTCACAAATATTCAAGAGCATGCATCAGAGTGATTGAGTAAGGAATGACTTGAGCAAATTGATTAGAAGCAAGATTTCTGCATAACCAATGTCACAGGAGTTAATTAGAAAGAAATAACCAAACCATCTAGAATTTTGCATCAAACTTACAGCCGTTTGAGGTTTGGAGGAAGATTATATGGAATTTGGCCTCCGTTTCCAAGGCTATTGGTGCTCATGTCTCTGCATCATATTCAGGATATCAAACCCAAATCCCAAAAGAAAAAAGGGTTAATTGCATATAGAACCTTGCAGTATAGTTGTTTTGAACTTACTACCCGTATAGTATCATTGTTTCAGATAGACCCCCTTGGTTAAATTTTTTTTGCTCTTTTATCCTTCGTGAAATTTTGGCACGTCTTGCAATGGTGAAATTTGTGACTCTATCTGAGGGTAAAAGAGAAATGATTTAACCAAGGGGCTCTATCTGCAACAATGAAACTACATGGATAGTAAGTCTAAAACAGTGATACCACAGGGGGTCTATGTGCAAGATTATGCATAGAGAAAGAAAGAATAATGCTCACAGCTCAACTAATGATTTCATAGAGTCCATGTTATAGGCCAATGTCCCAGTAAGTCCAAGACCTGACAATTTTCTAGTAGAAAAATGACATGCTTCAATAAATACATCGATTTCATTAAGAAAATAGTTTTGAAGAATCTCACATCTCGGTAACTGATGACCCTGAGCATGTAATGCCTTTCCATGACTCCCCGCAGGGATCACCACCATTTTGTTTCCAACCACTTAGCTTCCCCGGTGAATGTAAGCTACTGAACAAGGTATTGAGAGGGGTAACTGCGTAATGGAACATACAAAAAGAACAAATGAAGATGGAAAAATATTTGAACTAAATTCATCTAGATATATTTAGAGAGGACCAGATGGGGTTGAGACCCTGAAGACCAAAGGCAGTGTATTCTCATTATCATGAACAAGTAGCAAAATAAGAAAGAGAAGAATAATAAGAAAAGGAAAAGATTTAATCCAATAGTATTAAACACATGGCACCGAAAATTCACAGGAGAAAAAATCTGCTAGGCAAAAGATGTGTTGATATCTCAGGGAAATTGCGCAGTTCAAAAGCTTCACTAGCATCATGTGACTGCTGCTTAAAAGCCATTAGAATATACTTCCGTGAATCTTTACTGATAAATATAAACTTGTACATAAACAAAAATATATCTGCACTCCTCCCAGAATATAAATTTAGAATCTCACTAACAAGTGGTTGTGCCAACATTACTTGCAGGGCAAAAAAAAAACATCTCTATACTATTCATCAGGGTTTTTTAGCATATCAAAAAACAATGGGAAAAAAGAAGTGTTAGATAATAAATCTAACAAGAAGACAATAAAAGAAAACTGCTAAGAATCTGAAGTCTCAGATAATCACATAAAAATTTGAAGATTAATGTGATGCACTAAAAGAAAACTGCTAAGAATCTGAAGTCTCAGATAATCACATAAAAATTTGAAGATTAATGTGATGCACATCATATTATATACATGTTCATTAAAAAACCAGATAATCACATAAAAATTTGAAGATTAATGTGATGCACATCATATTATATACATGTTCATTAAAAAACAAAACAAAAGAAAGCACTTCTTTAGTCCAATATCAGATTTTTACAACAAGCAAGCAAACATATAGATACATGATATTGGAATTAAAAAAGACTAGCAAAAAGGTATCAGCATCCATCAAAAAATTAGGGTGGATACAGAAAATATATACTTCTCATATCAGTAAAAAAAAGGAGCTTCAAATACAAAGGGCTGCAAAGAATCTGAAGAAACTATTCACTCAACATTATTGCTTTTGTACATTAAACTTCAACACAGAGTTGAGGAACTTCATTGATTCAGTTCAAAAATCAGGTTTTTGCTACAAAACTCCAATTTTTATCCAAGTTCAAGTCGCCGGGGTAACTGAAACGAATCAAAAAGGTACAAAAACTGATGATCAACTACAAATTGAGACAGATTCCACAACTGGGTACTTTCCCTTTATCCGCATTAACATAAAAAAAGAGAAGAAAAAGAATCCAAAATATGTGAAATAGATTTCAAAAAAAAAATCAAAAAAAGCTGCTAATTAAAGATGAGAAGGCTTTACCATCAGATTGATCAGTGGAGCCATTAACAGAACTCGAATTCAAAGCCCAAATACAAGCTAACAGTGCCCATATGCTCAATTTCTCCCTCATCTCTCTCTCTCTCTCTCTCCCCGATCCAAAGTCCAAATAATTTACCCCTTGTTTAATCACTGAACCAAAAATCATGCTCGCAACCAAGGGGATAGCAAATATATAGATTGGAGGGGTAAATTTGCAAATACTATTGATTTTGGGGTGGATAGGTAAAACCCGTTGAGGAAAAGGATTTTTACGGTCACGGGCGGTAACGGGATCAGTGTGTACTTTAGAAAAAGACGCCTCCTTGATGAGCTGGATTAGTGTCGGCCGTTAAATTATAATCGGATGGTGGATACGAAAACTGAGTACTGTTGACTTTGTCTCTTCGTCGTTGACTTCCTCCACGAATGATTGCATGAGAGAAGAGATACTCGTGATGTTTTCATGTACATCTTTCGCGAGAGATTTCGCACGTAAGGCATGTTATTTTGTTGTTAGTGCGGAAGAAATTCATTTATAATACAACCGGAAATATTTATATATTTTTTGAAGAATATTTTTAATAATTGTTTGGTGAGGCATTTTTAAGATGCAGTACTGGCAAATGGTCAAAGATAAAGTTGGTTGCTTAGCAAATAGAAGAGTATTATTTCATGAATTGAACTTTTTTTACTTCTATCCAAAATAATAAACAACTTTCCTATTAAATGTTCCATTCACTCTATTTTTTTTTTCAAAGCTTTCAAGCCCTACTTGCACTCTGAATTACTATTCATTTTGACCACTTATATCCTCTAAACTGTTTTTAGTCTTTATCTTACACTCTAAAGTACTAATTTCCTTCCTTGTTACTCCCTGAACTATTTTGAGTCTCATATTACCTCATGGACTATCATTAAGCCCCACCTTACCCCGTGAACTATCATTTTATCTATTTAAATTACCTAAAATAATGTAAGGGAAATGGTAATTTAGTACCAAAAGTGATAGTTTATGGGGGTAACAAGGGACAAATTTAATAGCCCAGGGGTAAGATGAAACTGAAAATAATTTAGAGGGTATGAAGGAACAAATTGAAGAGTTCAAGGAGCAAATAGGAGTGAAAACCTTCTCAAAAAACTTTCTTCCTGATCATAAAAACAAGGGTTAATTGCATAATCAATCAAAAAAATTTATTTAATATTTTGTAAATTTTTGTGTATTTCTAACCCCATCTGAAAGGAATTTGTCTATCATGTTCTTATTTGTACATGTCACGTTGGTTGATGGCATATTACATAGAAATTATTTAGTATTTGCATACTCGCCGCGTGTTATTGATAAATCCTTTTATAGTTCCTAAATATAAACGTTCTCTTAAAGATTCTTTAACTATTTGTATCCATACTTGGAGTGAATGACGGTCAAGATCCTCTGTTCAGTCTCATGGATGCATGCAGGGAGAAAGTTTCATATCTCTGAGATTTGAAAACTATTAGTTCATTTAGAAAGCTTCTCGATACTACCTTGTATTCTTCTTTTTAATAATTATCTTTTAGTTGATGAATAATAAAATGAATGGGGATCATTCCCCTATTTTTTGCTTTGAAAAAAAAAAGAAAAGATGATGAAGATGAAGGATTATATTTTTCATATTCTACTACGTTCAACGGTACAAACATATATGATGGAGAGAGAAATCCATTTAGACATCCTATATCTTGTTGTGCCAAAAGCTGTGTCGAGGAACCAAACCAAACGCCAATCCAAGAGAGCCAAACGAACTAAATAGCAATGCACAAACAAAACACCAATTTTAACGTGGTTCGGCAAATTGCCTACGTCCACGGGGCAAGAAAGGGGATGGGGTTTTCACTAATAGAGAAAGAGTACAAACTGATATTACAACTCACTCGAAGGAACAAACTAATCTCACCAACAAGCTCTTAATCTCTCCAAACAAAACCCTAAACAAATAGCTCAGAAAATACCTCTTTTCTGTGCTCCAAATATCCCCAATTTGCTTCTCCCAATTCTCTCTTCCAATTGTTCCATATATATAGAAATCCTAAAATCATAAACATACTAGGAATTCTAAACCAAAACCAAATCAAATTAGGAATCCTAATAACCTATTACCAAAATAGATTAGGAATCCTAATAACCTCATGTTACCATAATAGAATAGGAATCCTAATAACCTCATGTTAACAAAATAGATTAGGAATCCGTTTTCTAACAATTCTCCACCTCGGCGAAGTTTTTCCAAAATTGAGTTGACACCGACCAAACCAAATGTCTCACTTGTTACGTCCAGTACGCCATGACAACGGACTCATGACAACGGACTCCATCCACATAAGTCGAGACCCAAACGGGAGTGCGAACACTCACCCAAATATCGGTATCTACTCACCAAATCGGCTCCATCAAAACTGACTGCCTACGTATCCTCTTGCCCAAGGAATCAAGGCTTCACGTAGTTCACCCAAACGGCCTCCAAAGGTCCTCAAACAAATAGAAAAGTATGCAACTCTTCCCCAATATCGCCAACGGATCTGCAACTGATAGCGGCCCCAAACTGATAAAATCAAACACCTCCATCTGAGATGAACCAATGGTCGTATCCAAATCATATCCACCAGCTGCAACCGAATCAAAAACCAATCCATCATATGCATACGAAATCAAATGATCCACAACCTGTGTCACCTCAGTTGGAATCATAAATGACGCAGTATGATCTGGAGTATGTAGAATAAGTTCCACCTAACGTGAAGTAGCATCACCCTCCACCTGCTGCGATATCCAAACGATCTGATCAACACTCTCCACCTGCCTCCTGCTCAGAACAAAATCAGAAGCTCCCAAACGATAATCAAATGAGCCTCCGAATTCCAAACGCGCAATCGGATCAAATCTCATATCCTCGATGTGACCAAATACTGGGTAGCCAAATATCCGATGCCAACCAAAATCTGAAGCAGCTTTACCAGATCTAATAACTCCTAATGCAGCACTCGGCGACCTATGACTAAGATGACCCAAATATGTCGAAGCTCCAGAAGCAATGCTCGACAACCAACGCCGATCCTCCTCCAGAAAGGAACGACCCATCGAAACTGTCATCTCATCTTGTCGTCCCAAAGTCTCCACACCAATGAAGTATCTCCTATTGCCGTGAGCTCGGCACAAACGCAAGAAAGGACCCCCTACCAAAGCTAGAACAACAAGTTACCTTTCTGTCAATATACTTCTTCCAATTGTTGTTGACTTCTAGGACTTTACATCAACGGGAACTAGTCGCGCCCTAATAATGCCTAGAACAATCACCAACTGTAAAAACTACAAAATGATTACCTCCCAATGATGCCTCCTTGGAAGGCCCCCAAATGCCTAACTGAACACCTCCTAAAAGATCCCTCGCTCGATGGATAGGAGTGCCAAACTCCACCTCGGTCTTGCTCATCCCAATGTGCTCAAAGGACTTCCATCTGCAGGTCAAAGCACTCCTCAACAACCTATGCATGACATCACCAATCAAATACCCCAGCACCAAACAACGCCACAATCTAGCCAAATCTAATAAAGTCGTCAGAGCTCTATCAATCACCGTGCTCCCAAGCAAATAGTATAAGTTACTCTTTCTGACGCCCTTCATCACAATCATGGACCCAAATGTAACCTTCAAGCGTGCATCCGCCAAGGTCACCCTATAGCCTGTTGCCTCCAAAGCTCCAAGTGAAATGATGTTCTTCTTCAACTGAGGAACGAACCTCACTCCAACCAACTCCCGAATCACCCTGTCACCCATCCTGATCCGAACGGTACCGATACCACCAATAGAGCATTTGTGATCATTCTCCATGAGCATGAAACCCCCTCTTTCCAACTCATAAAAGCTGGAGAACCAATCCATCCTAAGACAAATATGGTATGTAGCACCCGAATCTAACACCCATTCTGTAGAGTAGGCAACACAAACTGACGACAGTGCAGATAATGAGTAGCCTGAGGAATCCGAATCTGAATTGTTACCACTAGTCTTGACAATATTCACCTCTGAAGCTTGTACAGCTTTCTCCTTATTCTTCCCGGCTTGATCATTCAACTTTGGGCATTCAGCTTTCCAATGTCCATCTTTTTTATAAAAAGCACACTGATTCCTACGAATTTCAAGATGTGCTCCTCTAGAATGTGACATTCTACCTCGGTTTGGACCATTTGCTCTTGCAACCAATGCCCCCGCTACCGGCTCAATAGAAGTCTCCTTGTCCTTCCTGAGTTGGTAATTCACTAATGCAGCGGTGACCTCACTATATGAAAGAGATGTCTTTCCATTAATAAGAGTAATGGCAAACATCTCATATTCCTCGTCGGGTAAGGAACTCAACAATAGCAATGCTTTGTCCTCATTTTTAACAATGACATCTATATTCGTCAAATCTGCAAGAAGCTTCGTGTAGTGGTTCATGTGATCACTAATGGATGTCCTCTTCTTCAATTGGAAGCGATAAAGCCTCCTCTTCAAATGCAAGCGGTTTTCAACGCTCTTCGTCAAGTACTTGCTCTCTAGGATCTCCCAAATCTTCTTCGCAAAAGTCTCATTCATCACATCATATTTTAGATCTTGAGTGAGACAAGACCTAATCACACCACACGCTGTCCGATTCATCTTTTTCCAAACCTTCTCATCAATGTCGTCCGGTTTTTCATCCAACTCCAACGTATTTTACAAATTCTGCGTTTTGAGCGTATCCAAGACTTCGCATCGTCAAAGTCCAAAATTGTTAGTACCATTGAACTTCTCCACATTAATCTTCATCGAGTGGATACTCAAACTTTGGACAGTCTTCACACCTGAAGAACTACCCTCAACTCCCTCTTTCTCGGTCATAATCCTCAATACACCAACAACCAATGCGGAAACAAACGAAGAATAGATCCAAAACTGAGAAAAGAAAGAAGCTTTACCGAAAAGATCTCACCTTTCTCACAACCTGAAACCCTAAACGAGCTTCCCAAATCGATCTACTCCTCCAAATAGCCCAACTGTAGCCCGAGCTCTGATACCAAATTGTTGTGCCAAAAGCTGTGTTGAGGAACCAAACCAAACGCCAATCCAAGAGAGCCAAACGAACTAAATATCAATGCACAAACAAAACACCAATTTTAACGTGGTTCGGCAAATTGCCTATGTTCACGGGGCAAGAAAGGGGATGGGGTTTTCACTAATAGAAAAAGAGTACAAACTGAGATTACAACTCACTCGAAGGAACAAACTAATCTCACCAACAAGCGCTTAATCTCTCCAAACAAAACCCTAAACAAATAGCTCAGAAAATACCTCTTTTCTGTGCTCCAAATATCCCCAATTTGCTTCTCCCAATTCTCTCTTCCAATTGTTTCATATATATAGAAATCCTAAAATCATAAACATATTAGGAATTCTAAACCAAAACTAAATCAAATTAGGAATCCTAATAACCTATTACCAAAATAGATTAGGAATCCTAATAACCTCATATTACCAAAATAGATTAGGAATCCTAATAACCTCATGTTACCAAAATAGAATAGGAATCCTAATAATCTCATGTTACCAAAATAGATTAGGAATTAATAACCTCATGTTACCAAAATAGAATAGGAATCCTAATAATCTCATGTTACCAAAATAGATTAGGAATCCGTTTTCCAACATATCTGGTTTACTCTTAATTATAGGACAAGATCATACCTATAGTTAATCCTAAAATACCAACAATATAATGTAATAATGCAAAACCAAACTCTCTGTGGTAGCCTGATAGGTTCCCATAGAGATAATGGTCCCACTCAGGTATTATTCAACTTGCCAGATGATGCCCATGATGTATGAACATGGTGGCTTTATTTTGTAGGTGATCTAGGAATTGCAGATGACTCTGCAACTAGATTCTCTTAATTTTGGGTTAATTGTGAACAGACCGGCCCCTCTTTAGTATCTCCTGTAGTTCTACTTTTGTGAATAGATCCTTTAAATGAATTGTTTTTTTTACTCTTAAAGTTGCTAAAAAGATTTGAGGCGGATAGATCATATATAGTTCTATTGGTGAGGATAGACCCTCAATTGTTATTTTTTTAACGAGTCGGAAAGGTTCACTAAGGGGATGCATTCGCACCACCGCCAATACTACAAATGAGTCTATTCGTAATAACTAGAACTATAATGAGTCTATTTGTAATTGGGTGACACTACAGAGGTCTATCCGCAAGTAATTTTCTATTTTTAAAACTATTTTCAGAGGAGGAAATTAGGGAACAAAGATTGTTTAAGTAGATTTAGTGGGTGATGGATCCAACTCCTATTCCTTGGATGGGAAATGGAATAGAGGAGACAAAGAAAACTACGTGCTATTTTAGCTATTGTCTTCAACCACCATCAGAATTTAGATACCTGACAAAATGAGCGTCAACATTCTAGTGTCTGCTCATGCAATTAAATTCTTAAAATATTATTAGTTTCAGTTCTGCAAATTTGTAATTTTATATTGCTGTAGTGAATTAATGTCTTTAGATTATGAGATTTTTGTTTAGTTTTGTTACTCTTAAGTTAGAAAATAGGATCGTGTCAGAAAAACTGTACAGGCAAGAATATAATGGCTAAGAAAAACTGCCATGTTACCTCTATCATTCTTCGAAAATACAGATATAAAACTCTTTACATCAATTTACTATAATAATACCAACAAAGATTATAATAATGATGATGGTAATGAGTATGAACCAGAACAATTATTTAGGGACTATACCATTACAATACGAAGGAATTGAACCCCACTTGATGATTCTTAAAAGATACGGAGCCTTCAGTAAATAATAAATAAGAAAATTTTACAGTCAACCCCCAATAACTTTCAAAATCACAATAAAATTCGCAATAACATTTAGAACTGTAGAAAATTTTCAATAAGTTTTCAGCATTTTGTAGACAACTCCCATATATTAGAACCAAAAAACCAACATGAAAAGGCATTTTAAAATTATTGTGGCTTTAGGGGGTGTTTGGTTCAATTTCTAGAAATTATAGGAAATGTTTTCCACCTAAAATATGATTTTCTTGTATTTCTTAAAAAAATTATAGGAAAAGTTTTGAGAAATCAAAAAGTACCAATTTTCTTGTTTTTTGTACTTTGTTTGTTTGGTTCAAAACAAGAAAATAGCTCATAACTTTATAGAAAATAACAAGATTTGGTAGGTTTTTAATTAAATATGGTATGTGTCAGATTTCTGGTGATTTCCTCTCATTTTGAGAGGAAATTGCTTTTTGTAAAATTTGGTAGGTTTTGATATTTTATAGAAAATATTTCTGTAAATTTTTTGTTGAACCAAACACAATTTACAGAAATCTCTAGAAAACTTTTAATTATAAATTTGCCATTATCAGATGTTTTGAGAAAATTTTTCTCAAAAAGTGTGCAACCAAACAGCCCCTTAGTGTAATCTACACAAAAGAGTTAAATAAGAAAATTTTACAGTCAACCCCCAATAACTTTCAAAATCGCAATAAATTTCGCAATAACTTTTGGAATTGTAGAAAATTTCCAATAAGTTTTCTGCGTTTTGCGGACAACTCCCATAGATTAGAACAAAAAAAAAACACGAAAAGGCATTTTAAAATTATTGTGGCTTTAGTGTAATCTACACAAAAGAGTTAGGGTTTTCTGCAAAAGTTACTAGGGGATTTAGGGCAATTTTGAAAGTTACTTGGGTGTTTGGTATAATTTACCCTTTCTTTAAAGATATCAAAGGAAAGTAGTTATCGCCGGATCTAATCCATGTGAAATATAATATATTTTGTCAGTAGAAGCAGCTGAGTAGATAAGCAACTAAGAGCAACGTATATAATATTTTTTTTTTAACTTCATTTGGAGCTTTAACGACTTAAAAGTACAATAATGATAAATAATTTTAGTGACGTTAACCATGGGGCGAGGTGGCTTGAGCTAGAAGTTAATGTGCAAGCTTCAATTAGGAAATGAAGGTGTCGCTTCTTCTATCATTATCTTCTATTTGTCTGATGAATATATGACTCTGATTCATCTTGAATGAAAAAGAAATTTAGTACATAAAAAAATGGAGTTGGACTATTATGCTATTAGGAGGAGGAGGAGGAATCTCCTCCTCCTACTTTTTTCAGCCGTTGGATCTTGTAATCATGCTTTAAGATTAGATCTAATAAATCAGAATTTAATTAGTTGAGTCTAAAAATCTCTCAATATGTCACATAAACATTCACAAATTGATTTCTAGAGCGTTCATAACTGAGCTGCAACAAACTAACACATCACATAAATTTTATTTTGATCAAGATAAATTCTGTATTGACTCCAAACAATTGAGCATCAAGCTGCAAAAATTGCAAATTTTAATGGTTGTCCCGCCACTTTAAGAGGATACAGTAACACTCTTCAGTTTATGTCTAAAGAGTCCGAACCAGTGTTTAACAACAGACATGGAAATGTTCATAGAATCCCTAACAAATTATCACAGGTTGGAATCCTCTGGTCTTTGAGGGTTTTCTGAGGGCTCAGCTTCCGAATTCTTGTGGCTATCAGCAGCAGAATTCTCGTTGTTGCCTCGTCCATGAGATGATTCAGTGTTCATAAATGCATGCATGCCATTCATGGCTCCAATGGGTCTCATGCCCATGAATGGCATCGATGGATGGTGAAATTGTGCTGCTGCAATTCATGAACTTGTTGGGGGCTTAATTGTAATGTTGTCTTCGGAGGGAAATTTGGTGTTTGCTGTATGTACTGCTTACCACCTTGAGGCATTGCAGCTTGAGGTATCATCTTCAATTGGAGACAAAAAAAAAGATGAATTTTGAATTGAATACAACTTACACTAAGAAAGCATCTATACTCTCTATAAGAGAAGGTATTTATTACCTGAGGACGCATTGCTGGAGATTGTGGTTGGGCATCGGCAATTGCAGCTAGGTACAATAGGTTCTTTTGGAGCTGTGCTTGATACCTGAAAATGTTTTCTAGTCATCAGAAATTGTGTACGTCCCAAGATATGTAAGTATATGGCAGTCGATGTAAATCTTGCATAAAACAGTACAAAAGTAAGCAGAATCGAACATATAACATAGTAGCAGAACCCTATTAGCCTTGAATTCCTAAGGAATCAAAAACAGGGGGGAAAAGAGACATGACAAAGTGACAGCTGCATCGGCTACCTCCGAACTTAGCTCTAGCAATCATGTTGAACTTTGATCTTTCCATGAAAACGCATACAAACTTGCCTAGAACACAGACTAGATTACAAACATGTCACATGTAGATCCGACTAGGTTTTAACTACTAAGCATGCATAATAAACACTTCACATTATCTGCCTAAAGTTAAAGACTGATAAGGCCAATCCTCAAATACATTGGCAGAAGCTCTATGGTAATCTTCATTGTTTTGAACAGTCTATTTTGCTCAGTGAAATTTTGTAGCCATCAAATAATTGTCCACGCAATCAAGAAGATCAAAAGGTATTCTGTAATATTACGGAGTACTGAAGGTACGGAACAGACTAGTGAATTGGATGCTAGTCACTGGCGTAAAAGATAGATAAAGGTAAAAAGAAGAGAAACGTATAATTCTGAAAATTACATAGAGCATGTTAACTGTAGAGAAAGAAGATGTAGAAGCAGGAAGACCATAAATAACAGTTATACACTTCAAGTTACTTACTGGGCACACTCGCCTAGCCTTCCCATATTTTGATTATCCAAAATTGCCAGAATCAGCTGCTTGTTTTCATCCAAGTACTGCACCAAATATGACATAATTAGTTTTAGATATCAAAACCTTTAATATCAACATATATTAGTTCTCCAAGTTAAGTACTTTCCACACAGTAGATAGAGTTTACATGCTAGTATCTCAGGACAAAAATATAAATCATTGTCATGCAGAAAATACAAATCATCAACAACACCAAGAAGCTTTTCAAATACTTTATATGAATAAAAAGAATTGAAGTTGTGAGCCCAACATAGAACAACATTCCATCTGTTATGTAAGGCTGTCTTGATATAACAAAATGTTAAGGGAAAAAAAAGTAATACTCATTGAGAAATTAAAGTAGATTATACAAAAACTATCTATACGGGAAACATAACATAAATTTATTCTGAAATAAACCCCATATTTTTGTGCCAGCTAAATTACTCTAAGTGATCTAGAAGAAAGACTATGAGTCAAAGTAGATTATTGGTGTTGAAATGAATATAGAATGGGTAGTTTCGATATAATGACCTCAATTTTTACAAGCATGAGCAGATAGGGATAGGCCTAGTGTTATGACGCTCAACTAATTTATGAGGAAACTTCTCAGGTCACATGAAAATTCTTCATCAAAGATAATTGCAGTGATTTAATAGCTAGTAGTGGATAGGTATCTAACTGAGTGTTAAAGAGTAGTTCCAAGTATGCCACCAATATTGTTCTTTAACCTCTTCAATACAATAAACTAGAAGTCTAGATGGTAGTCCATTAGAACAGGAGCCCAAAAGATTTTTCTTGGTTTACTCATAGGCAATTGATGAAGATTCAAGGGAAGAGCACCCAATTGTGTGAAATTAAACGATAACATAATCCCAATATTGAGAAACAGGTCTTCATGTGAGATGCGCCAAGAGATGGGATAAGAAATGAGTGTACCCATAGGAGGTTAGATGTTGTTCTTATTGAGGATACAAATGAGCAATGTTACATTAAACGCTGGGCGCTCCTGGGCGCCGGACTTGGCGCCCAGCGCTTAGACGCCTAGGCGGGCGCCTAAGCGGTTTCTGGGCGGTTTTTTTCTTCTGGGCGGTTTTTCTTTTTTTTAATTGTGATACTTGAAGATAAATACATATACTCAATCAACAATGCATAAATACAAAAATACCAACACATATGCTATCCAAAGTATAATAGTCAATCAAAGATGCATACATACTAAATGACAAGGCATATAATATCCAATAACTAGAAGTTTATGTCCCAAAACATCAGCAAAAAGATAGTCAAACAGGAATAGTCTAAAACTTTGTGAAATAAATGAACACCCGACATTCTGAAATAAATGAACAAACAAATCATTCATATACTTAAAATTAAACTTAAAACTAAACTTAAATAATAAATACAGTTAAACAGATTCAATTTGTAATTCTAATTCCTAACACAGAATCTCAAAACAAAAAATATATAAACTCTCACATGTGTAATTTTCCTTACTGTTAACTTATTTTTGTAGTCAAAAACTGCAATTTCATTCGTTATTGCTGCAACTTCAATAACTACAACTAATTATTGTTCTATTTTGTAGGTCAAAAACTGCAACTTCATTCGTTATTGCTGCAAATCTAAATGTAGGGAGTGTGAATATTATAGTTTCAGCACTCAACTCAATACAGATACAGTGATACACAATTATTGCATGTAAGCTTTGAGCAAATGCAGAGATGCAGAGAATGAACATGACAAAGACAAATGTAAGGAGCATAAGTCTGTTGTGGACTGTGGTGATGCATATTCTGTTGTACACTCAGATACTTTTTCATATGAAATAGGAAAATTAAACTTAAACAATTAAACTAATAAACTTACAGTCTTAAACAATTAAACTAAATATGATATAAATATATTAAGTTAACATAAGGCTAGGAGCAGTTAATTTCCTTGAGCTTGAGATAATAAGTTAACATATACATAGCTTTGTCTGCAGAAGAAAGAACAGCAGCGAACTTTAATATAAGATTTGACATATACATAGCAATAGCATCGTTGACAATTTACCCAGAACATATAAACGACATAAACCTCCTTCAAAAACCTCATTTCATTAGTAATAGAAGAGAAACAAATAAATAGTAGATGAAAAAAAAATCCAGATAAATCAGTAAGCTCTAAAAACTGATTTTTATAATAGTAATGGATATCCGAACTCAAATAATGAATATAATCCAAGAAAAAAAAGAGTTAAAAATCAAGGAAAATAAGTTGGAGGGTTTTGAAAGCTTAAGAGCATACCCGAACCCAAAAAACAAGTTAAAAATGTCGCTGCTGTTCTTCTTTCTGCGGAGATGAGAACGACGAACTCGAAGTAGAGGACGAGCTCGAAGATGAGAACGACGACCTCGGAGATGAGCTCGGAAGACGTCGGAGATGAGAACGACGAGCTCGGAAGACGTCGGAGATGAGAACGACGAGCTCGGAAGACGTCGGAGATGAGAACGACGAGTTCGGTCGTTGAAGACGAGCTCGAAGACGATCTCCCAGCACCAGGTAGTTTTTGGTTTGGGTTTTGGGAGCGCCCAGCTCTTGTTTTGGGCCTTGAAAATGTGGGGCGGGCCGCTTAAGCGGCCCGCTTAGCCCTGGGCGGCCGCCTAGGCGCTCCCAGCGCCCAAAGGTGGCCGCCCAAGGCTAAACTGCACGGTGGGGGCACCGCCTCCGCCTAGGCGGCCGCCTAGGCGGCCGCCCAGGGCGTTTTTTACAACACTGCAAATGAGAGAATCGATTGAGATGGTTTGACCACGTGCACTAATGGTTACAAAATGCACCAATTACAAGATGATATAAGATTACAATTAATGAAGCATGGAGTAAAAGATGTAGATTTAAGAGAAATTGGTTAGACGCAATTAAGAAGGATATGAAGTGGTTAAGTTAACAAAGGAGACTAACCCTGAAAGCAACCAAATGGTATAAAGGATTGGTTGTCTTTGCGGTTGTTTTCATGTGCATGCTGCTAGTTCCATCGCGAGTTTATAATGAATTATGGTTTACAAGACTGTCTTGAATGTGAAGAGTCAATTTGACTGGATTTTATAGCACAAGGTTGATGGATCACAAGGACTATGATGATCAACACAACAACGGTAAGTTCGTAAAATATAAGAGAACTTCAGCTGATGTGGACAGCTAATAAGAACTTCAAAGTGGAACAATTTCAAAGTGAACAGCTAATAAGAACTTCATCGCCCCAACTGGATCAATTTCAAAGTAAATTTTCAATGTGGTCCAATGAAAGGCAATGACAGCTTCCACCTTTCCCCTAGGACCTAGAGGACTAAATGCCTTGATAAGCTAAATATGCAAAGATACAATCAACTGAAGAATAAGTACTCAAGCTTATCTTCACCAACAAGTACACATGGCCGCAGAGATATGAGTGTTGATAAGGGATAGACCGCTCACACGGAAGCCTCATACTCAAGGCCCATATCCAAGAATAAGTTCTCCAGCTGATGTGGAACTAGATGCAAAGATCTATGTCATAAAAGGGGATGCAAAATGTTGGCTTCAAGAATCCAAATTCCTATGATTCATATATCAACGGTCCTTTCCACTCCACAAGAACTCCGAAGTTATTGTGAGGGTTGAGGGTTCAAGTTGTATACTCAAACATGGACCCTCGAGGTTGAGCCCCCTTTTTCATGGTCCAATACACGGACTCACGCAGCGCTACCTCTTAGTTTCTTTAATTTTGTCACCTGAAATTTGAACCAGGATTGCTCTGATATCATCATCTAAAGATTCCCTTCACTGCACCACATCTTTCTCCGAAGTTGCGGTGAGGGTTGAGGGTTAATGCCATTACATTCTAACTATTCATAAAGGCACAACTTACAATAAAAAGAATAAAGTTAAGATATCTCGCCTCCCACAATTTAGAAGTAGCACGACGGAAGATGTCGCTCTTCACCACCGGCATGGAGAAAAAATGTGGTGGAAAAACAAATTCGCAAACTTCACGCATTTACGATTTCAATCCCACAAACAGCTACTCGTGCAATTTCTAGCTTTTACTATATGTCCACAACTTCGAAGGAAACTACGCCAATATACTTGTATAGTTTTTTTTTTTTTTTACATAGGACAAGATCAAGATTTCTCCTTTTTGCTACAAGAGTAATCAAATTTACTCCTTTCCAAAAGAAAACCGCACCACGAGTAATTGCAAAGTTCCAAAAGGCGAGAAAGAAGAAACGAGAGGAAAATCAATATCCAATGGGCACCCAAATGTGAAAAAGATTGGTTTTTTTTTTTTTTTTTTTGAAATATACCTTTTGAATCTGCTCGGTGGTGATGCCGGCAGGAGGAACTGAGCCCATTGGGCGCCATGCCTCCAATCTCTTCTCTCTCTCTCTCTCCTCTCTCTCTCTCTAGAAGTTTCTCTCTCACTGTACACACAGAGAAATCCCTGTCAGTGATTGGTTGAAGAGGAGAGAATATGAGGGACGAAAATGGCGGCAGAGGGACTGAAGAGCGAAGCGAGGGGGAAAAGGCGTGGCCTTTTTTTCTTTTTCTTTTTTTTTTAATTCGCTTGGAAATTTGAGACAAATTGGAATTTATGAGAAGTGAGCCCAACATCACTGAAAACCAGCCGCCCACTGCAGAGCCTGCGAAACCTGACGCACGTGATGCAGATGCAACCGTGGGCTGTTTGCCTGCTATTTTTATTTTGGGTTTATTAGTATTATTATTAGAACAATTTTTCAAAACCGCCTGAATTTTTTTTTTTTTTTTCAAAACCGACTGTTTTTTTTTTTTTTATCAAAACCGACCCGGTTTTGTGATTAGCAGGTTAATGACTATCCTAAATAGTCGGGGTTGCCAACCCCGACTATTTAGGAGGGGGTTAAACCCTAATTAAAGGGTGATTAGCATGTTAATCACTATCCTAAATAGTCGGGGTTGCCAACCCCGACTATTTAAGATAGTGATTAGCCTGCTAATCACAAAACCGGGTCGATTTTGATAAATAAAAAAAAAAACAGTCGGTTTTGGAAAAAAAAAAAAATCAGGCGGTTTTGAAAAATTGTTCTTATTATTATGATTTTTTTTTTTGGCATATGTACTCCTCGTATTTCTACATTTGCAAAATTGACCTTCTTGGGATTTGAATGACCCCCAATTCCCCTTTCACTCATCAATTTTAGTTTTTTAAACCAGAAATCATTGCAAGCCTCTTTGGAGTCATTGGAACTTTGACATTTTCTTGTTTAAATGCAATATTCTTGAGTTGGAGCCCGTAGAAAGACTTAATATGCTAGTCTTGAAAGGGTAAGTTTACGAATAGTAATATGTTAGTGGTAATTTTGCAAGTATTAAAATTTGAAGGGTCATACTATAAATATTAAAGAGAGGACTGTACATACAAAAAAAATTATTTTTGGCACAAGTTATGCAGCTAATGTTATAGTAATATTTCATAGGAGTCCTTAAATTTTGAAATTCATCAATAGGGGCTCCTAGCACTTTCTCTATTATCATAGTAAATCTTTCTTAAATTTTTTGGTTAATTATTGATGACCTCTTTATTATTCTTAATTTTTTGCTGAATGGATACTGGGTGGACTGTTTTTTTTTTCAAAAAAAAATTAAAATTTAAAAATAACCCCCTTAAAATTTATTTAAAAAATCCTACAAAAGAAAACTTAAAAAATCATAAATAGCCCCTTATTTTTTTTATAAATAACCCCTTAAGTGTTTTGAAATTTATAAATGGAAATTTTCACAAAAAGCCCCTAACAATTTACAAGCAAACCTCCACTAATTTCCAAAATATAACAGACCCCCGAATTTTCACAGACAGACCCTAGATATTTTATAAACAACCATAAAATTTTCAAATAACTTCCTAGAAAATTTACATAAATCTCTATTTTAAAAATTACAAATAACCCCATAAGTTTTTACAAAACTCCCCTTAAACCTTTTATTAAAAAGCTCCATGAACAATTTGCAATTGAAAGTTTCAAAAATTACAAATAAACTTCTAAAAAATTAGTATAGATTTTCTGGCACATTATCTAACTATTTTGCTCCTAATGTTCAGAATATGGATGTTCCGAGATTAAAAGTTTTTTCCCTGGTCTTGTACTGGTAGTTATTAAGTTTACATATACAAATTAACCAGCTCATAAAGATATTACTAATATTTAACAATACGGGTCGTGAGTGTGACAGACTTGATCTGAACCTGGTCCAAAATATTATTTGCCGAAATCACTTTATGGATGGATCAGACTCGAATCTCAAATACGGGGTGCGCCCGGCAACTTCATACTAATCCGGTTTAGGGTTAAAACAGAGTGGACTGATCTAAAGATAATCTAATTTAAGGAAGGGCCTCTTTTTAAACTGAAAAAAATGGTCTCATTCTAGGATGGATTATCACAAAGGTAATCCAGCCAGCTAAATTAACAAAATGACTGTTACAGAAAAAATATACACACCCCAAACCAAGAGTGTGTATCAACGTCCATTCTGAATAAGTTTTTGCTAAATACATTTTAAGTTAGTAGGGAAGTTGACAAATCTAACCTTCTTGCTGCCCCCATGTGGTGTTTTAGAGTCAGGGGTGGTAACTGGTAATAGGGTGTCAAGTTTGGGACCAGTTTAACTTCGACATTGACATGCACATACAAATGTTTCGATAGAGCAGAGCCTAGTGACCCTTGGCCGGCCCAATCCAGCCCATAACTTGCCCTTGTGAAATTGAAGCTTAGCACTAATCAAGCCTAAAGATTGAACCGAACCAGTTAAATATCCGTGATTGAAACATGATAATTTTATAATCTAATAGAAGCTCCAGGCTATGAATTGTCCTTAAGATGATGATGATTCCACGTGTTCTCCCATTAATTTCGAAGAGGTTAACTAAGTTGAGGGCCTAACTTTGTTTAGGTGCTGCTTTATCTCGTAAATTGTGTTAGTATATTACATGGGAGATCACTGGAGCAAAGTTGGTTCGTTTCGGTCCAAAGAATGTTTGGAGGAGCGGTACGCCAGATTGGGTGCGACGAGCGTAGGTAGCGAGAGAACGTGGTATGTTTTAAGTTCAGTTCTTACATGTCGAAATTAGAGCTTTTGAAATATGTTAGTTGATATAAGTAAAGGTAAACTAACCTTCAGGTCTTGTTGCAATTTAATATATGCATACTTTTCTTGCTTACTCTCTCAATTTTTTTCGTCCTTTCATCTTTTGAAAAAGAGCTTCTTCTTTTTTTTTAAATTTTAACTGGTTTAAATTCTAAATCAGGTTGCTCGAGTTGGTGAATTGGTTCATGTTCCACCACGAATCTAGGATGATTGAACCCGGGTTGCCGTTCCCTATAGCATCCCACTTCCAAACTTAATTTTAGGCACCGGAGGGACTAATTGGAACATAGCTTATAAGAATTAGAAGACCTAATAGAAACTGCAATGATTTGACGGACTAATTGTTGGACACATAATATACAATACAGCGGAAAAGATGCATATCATGTAGATTAATCGAAATTAATTAAAATCTAGAAAAAAACCTGAAACGCTTTCTGAATTTCTTTGATAATCAGTCCCAAGATCAACACAGTAGCTTTCTCAAGAGAAAAAGCCTCCAACTGAAATCCACCCGTCACCGAAGAGGAACAATACAGAGAGATAGGTTCTCAAAATCTATTTCCTTTTTTTCATCCTTTTTTGAGGCTACATATGAGCCCTATATATAGGATTGGATCTGCCTTATGGATTTCAATTTCAAAACAATTCTTAATTGTTTAAAACTCTTATCCATAATATTTAAAGATAGAATATTCTTTCCATAACAATTAGGATAGAAATAGATTTGTTCAAAAACTTTATCCATAACAATTAAGGATAGAATTAGAATTGCATTGTATGTATACCTCTTCTAATGACATTAGTGAGACCAATTGGGTCCCATATCGAGAACCAATTATTAATCAAATTAATAATTTTAATTTAACAATCAAATCCCTATCCGACCAACTGTTCATAAAAGCTCTTCCATAATATGGGATTAAATATTCATGAATAATATTATCTTACATTCAGTCCCCTCCAGTATCAATTGATTTTAGGAAACTTTATTGAGCAGGACAAATCACCTACTTGCTCATTCCTAAAATTGCAATCCCATGATCATAAATAAAAAACCATTTTTGAAACAACAAAAATATTTTATTTTATAAGAAAATAAATTTAGAAAAATAATTTTCAAAAACCACCCGTCGACGGGAATTTAATATATTCATGGGATATGCATAATAAATTAACTCATAAAAATGAGTATACTGGATCCTATCTAGATATCCATCACTTCCCTAAATGAAATCTAATAACCCAATATTTCAGGCTGTATAACACTTGTAAAACAAGCTTAACCATCATATCAAAGTATATTAGATTATCAAATCGAAAATGATAATATCATCAAGTCTAAGGGACCATGTAACAATTTGGATTCTCTCTCTTAGGTGACTCGTCCTAGAGAATCCAAATAAGGTCTTGCGCTACACATATCTAATATGCGCTTATGACATACACCCGGGGAAATCTTCATTTCCGATAGCTGAGATCAACCATCACATCTAATATGTCGTTGTCATGCATAATAACCTGTCATAACTAAGCTATCATTTACTAGTTATAGGTCAAGCACAAATTTAAGAAATATCTGAATTAGATCATATCTCCAAGCAAGTGATCATCACATTGCATGATCTAACAAAATAATCTCTAAGGATAGTATAACAATTATATAAAAAGATACCCAAACAACATGTGCAATAATAAACTCAATTAATAATCAATAAAAAAATGTATTGGATGTTTAAGGGCATATAACACTACTCTAGATAATAAACTCAATTAATAATCAATAAAAAAATGTATTGGATGTTTAAGGGCATATAACACTACTCTAGCCCTAATTTCTAAATATGAAAGATTTAAGACACCTGTATCCGCGAAAACCCTTTCTGTTTTTGCATATTTTTACTGATCAAAAGAAGGAAAAATTGGATTTTGCTTCTTGTGACGATGAAACGTGCAAGACTTGTGTCAGGATCATGCAGATGCCAGTCTCTAAACCAAAATGGGTGGCAACGTACGTGTTGTGTCTGAGAATTTTGTCATGCAAGTCATCAGTTTTGGATTCTGAGGCACTGGCTTCCGAATTTTGAAAAATGTTAGTTCAAGAACAATATCAGAACAAAAACAACCAAAGTTAAATTTCTCCAAGATATATGAAGAAGAACACAATATATGCACACCAAGCTTTACCCTTCTTCATATTTTTTTTTTGTTGGCAAAGTAAAACTGTAAAATTCTGCTCAAGTTAACAGGAGCAGTCATGTGGCTCATCATGATTGATACTAATCACAAGATCAAAGAAGAAGAAACAAAAAAAAAAGCATATATAATTTTTAAATTTGAGGTTGGTCACATGACAAAAATTTTCTCTGCATACAAAAATAAACAAATTCTCGCGTTTCATTAAAAATGTTTTATAATAAAATGCCGTACCATAAGATAAGATAAATTTGTACAACGTACACAAGAGTACACCGTATAGTACAACATATATTGCATCCTATGAGGGTTATGTGTCAATACTATGGAGGTTCTAAACTATAGATATCATATAAGCATTATATTCAAATGAATTTTTTTGTACACACTCTCTTTTCCCTGAGCCTGTTGCCTTTGCTCCTACCCTCTAATGTTCTTTTCTACAATGATTTCCAGCTAAAAACCACTGTATGCACAAACTCAGTGCGCTGGGGTCAGTGTGCTAGGGACCACATTCACGCACATAATCATATTTTTAATTTTAATCATACTAATATACATTCATTTCTATGATCTAATCAAGGTACCAATCAATTACAAAATCTTACCAATAAGAAAATCTCTTGATTTATGGAGAAAAACAAGGGAAGTGAATGAGTGAATTCAATGATAAGGACAAGAAAGAAGGAAGAAGATAATGTGGGATTCACTACACTACCAAGTTGATCTCTAGAAACAAACAACAACTGACTTAACTTGCATTGCACTTTGTCGAATTTGTACTGCTCCTCCCCCCAAAATGGGGTTAATTTAACAAAAACCCCTAAACTTTTATGCGTATTGTAGATCATAGTAAATCCCTGTGAACTTACAAATTATACTAAACGACGTGGACTATTGGAAATTCTCATAAACATAATTAACGGATAGAGTAAAAAAGTTTATGCTATCATTTCACCTTTTTTTATTTATCTTTACCTGAAAAGAGCAGTGTAGAATTTATATTTAGCAGATATGAGTGAATTTCGTCGTCATGTGAAAAGTTTTCCTTGAGTAACATTGTCACCTGAAAAGTGACAACTTGCTAGAGTATAAGCTTATAACCTCAAATCCTCACTACAACATTAGAGTTTTGTATAGTGGTTGGACTCTTCGACTTGGCTAGAGTATAAGTATAAGCTTAACTCTCGTTCTAACAACCTGCAACCTCTTATATAAACTCAGTAATGCCCTCCTATTTTGATCCATCACTTGTGACCTCAAGCTCCACATATTCTCATCACACCCATGTCTGATTCCGATAACTGTTTCAACGCCAACAACGGTCTCTCTACAAACGTAACGGGGGAGATCACTGTAGCATTGGTCATTATTACCTTCTTCCTCTTCATCGTCGCCTTTGTACTCTACCTTCGAGTGAAGGGTTATTCAGGAACGATCGGTTTCTCTACTCCCACCTCTCATCATCTAAATCTCCAAAAACAAGCACTTGATCAGTCCATCATAAAATCCCTCCCTGTTACTCTCTTTCAAACTAAAGAATTAGTAGAGTGTGGCCTTGAGTGTGCAGTTTGTTTGTCGAAGGTAAATGATGGAGAAAAGATCAGGTTCCTGCCCAAGTGCAAGCATGGGTTCCATATCGAGTGCATCGATACGTGGTTTCTCTCAAACTCAACATGTCCTTTGTGTAGAAACCCCGTCAACTTGGCTGAGATTCCTGTTCAGTCTCTTGAAGCAGTTTCAGGAACTCAGCGAACTGAAGAAACACAGAATCCAGTGACAAAGGTGCCAGATTTGGACAGGTTGGGATCTCTGAGAAGAAGTTTAGACAGTAATTGTGTTTGTTCTGATATTGAGCTAGGAATACAGAAGAGCATTCCTGTATCAGAATCAGCCAGTAGCTTGTGAGCTGAGCAATTCAAGCAAAATAGTTGGGTAAATGTATGAGTTACTTTCGAGATTTTGATGTGCATTACTAGTTATTACTTGATTCAGCTGATAAATTCCTATGAGGCAAAATTTGAAAGAATAAGTGTTTACTGGAAATTTGATTTCAAAAACAGGCATTACTGGAAAGAACTATGAAGAATAGGAGATCATCTGACATAAATTTTGCTTTAAAATGCCAGCAAAACCTGAAAAAGTGCATTATATGAAAAGTCCAAATATAGATTAATTTTTTTTCTTCCAGTCTCCTGCACTAGAAACTATTCGTTCAGTGCTAAATTACCTGAAATTTTACCTGTAGAATGTCTTAAGCCTTAAATATCTGATGATGTATAAAAATAGGGTGTTGCTACATGGACCCCAAATAGGGGACCCCTGAGGGGACAGGTGAGGTGTCAGCCCCTGGGGGATTGATGCACTGTTCATGAACAGTGCATCAAGCTGACACCTCACCTGTCCCCTCAGGGGTCCCCTATTTTGGGATCCCTGAGGAGTTTTCCATAAAAATATCTACTTAAACCAAATAGAGCTTGATACACTGTTAATTAAATTAAGACTGCAATGGGTAACTTTTAGGATTTTGGATGAAAACTACCTGTTTCTGTGACTATCCATCTTTTTTACTTTTCGAAACGTCTTCTTAATAAAGGCTCTTTGAAGCATCTTTGGAAAAAAAATATATATTTATCTCCTCTTTGTCAAAAAAGAAAGAAAAGAAAAAGAGTAAGCAGCAATGTAATTATAATCTTAATTTTTGTTCTATAAAAAATGTTTCAGTGTCATAAGCCCAGTGTCATAAGCCCAGAGCCTTTAAAAATTGACTCAAAACAAAAGGAAAATTTCATTATCAAAACAGCTGTATGCACCAAGCCTTTCGTTTTCAAATTGCAAAGAGAGACAAAATATCAACATATAGGGCTGTTTGGTTCCGATTTTTTTAGGGTGAAAGTAGGGGAAACCTGCCACAGTGTCCCATCTGTGGCAGATTTCACCCCAAATCGCCCCCAAAAAAAGCGTTTTAGGGTGAAACCTGCCACATTTCTGACACTATGGCAGAGATTCACCGATAAAAAATTGGAACCAAACGCGCCCATATATCATATTATAATTAGTTTTGAAACATCATGACATGCATCTTTCGGATAAATCTTGCCTATATCCGCGGAGAGAATTCAAGAGACCTACTGTTTTAAAAGATGGAGTACAAAAAGAATCATCATATACCCCAACCCATCATAGATTGAATCTTTACAATGACCAAGAGCACCTTTCAAATTGATGAAGAGCTCTAGTCCCTAATACAATCTCTCATAATAATAATTAGGCATTTGATATCCAAATTAATATAATATTATCCTACAATCCTGATCGAACTCAACTTTATATATTCTTTAATTGGAACACTGGAACTCATTTTGACCTTTTCTTTTAGACTTTATTACAGTTGGGCATAAACTCAATTTAAGGATTGAGAAACACGGCAGCAGTTATCTCACACATTTCAATTGTTAGTGTTAATAAAAAATTGAAGCCCCAGCTAAGGATGCACGCACTCTTCAATGCATAATAATTTCTTATCACATTCTCTCAAAAACTGCTGACTAAAGAGGAAAAAAAATGCACATATTCTGTCTAAAATAAGACCCCACTTGCCTAACTCATCTTAAACCTATGGCAATGAGATATTAAACCAGCACATGCTCTAAAAAACATGTGCAAGTTGCCTACCTAAATCTGCAACAGTAAACATCTTCTATATTCACAACATTTATATAGGTTTATTGCGAACAGACACCGTGTAGTATCACCCAGTTGCAAATAGACCCCTTGTAGTTTTATTTTTGTGAATATAACCCGTGAGTAAATTTTTTTTTTTTACTCTTAAAATCGTTAGAAAAAAGTTTTGAGTGGGCGGGTAGACCCCTAGAGTTGAAAAAGTTCATTAAGGAGGTGTATTTGCACCTAGGCCAATACTACAAGGGGGTCCATTAGCCACAAATAGAACTACAAGGAGTCTATTCACACTTAGATAATACTAAGGGGTCTGCTTGCAATTAACCGTACTTATATCTTAGTATATTCTTACACATTATTGTCAAGTGCAGCAATACCTGGAACCCCCCCAGAAACAGAAACATCTTGTTGGTCAACTTTGAGTCTCTTTTCAAAGCCTACCTTCACGCAGTCAAACGTGGCTCCTTCTTTCCCTCTCCTCTCAAAATCAAACTAAAGTTTTGACCCTTGCAATCCCTCAACACCTTATAAACTCTTTCTCCTCCAAAAAAAATCACAAAGATGGCAGATTCATATAATCAACAAATGAACAAAAATGCCTCAAATACTGGTATCTCAGTCACCACAACTCTTCAAATAACAATAGCAATTGTCTTCTTAAACTTCCTTCTCTTCATTATCATCCTCTTGTTCTACATTCGCGCTAAAGGCTATCTTCGTAACTCTAGACCTTCTCGTTCCTCTAGACTCATCTTCGCTCCTCATGAGCCTGCTCTCCCTCGACATGCGCTTGATCCTTCCATCCTCCGCTCCCTCCACATTACAGTCTTTCGGTCTGAAGACTATAAGGAGGAAGGAGGCTTAGAGTGTGCAGTTTGTCTCTGTGAGCTAAACGACGGAGAAAATGCTAGGTTTCTACCTAAATGCAAGCATGGATTCCATGTTGAGTGTATTGATATGTGGTTTGATTCGAATGGAACCTGTCCACTCTGCTGGGAAATTGTTAGCATCGAATTGGAGGCAACTTCAGAAATTGGGAATTCATCGGACATTCCTTCAACTAGCCAGAATCATGAAGAAAGCTCTAGGGGGAAAACAAAGAAGGGGATGTTGATTATTGATATACCGAGACAAATGATTAATGGGCTTTCATCGATGAATTCGCCTTTACCATCAAGCAGGATGTCGATTGAGGGAATGAGATCACCAGCGATGAGAAGGATGTTGAGTTGGGGAAGAGGTAAGGGGGTCGGTACTTCTTGTAGTCCTAGAGAATGTAATGTTGAGCAAGGACTTGCAGCTTCCAAGTGCCAATAATAGAATTTGCATTTTGGTAAATATATGTGAATAGGATGTTGTCAAGCCAGGAAATGTGTCATTCTTTGTTGTTCGTAAATGCTATGAGATTTGGATAAACCGTTTTTGTAATGAAATGTCTAGAAAAATTTTCAAATTCCACAGCCATACCAAGTCTTCTTCAAGTATACTTGTTTTCCTTTACCTCTCATATACGCTGAAGGGTTAACTGCGAACCTTCGAACCATAGCCCAATGGCACATAGACCCATTGTAGTTCTACCTGCGGATACACCCCTTGAGTGATTTTTTTTTCTTTTCAACTCCTTAAAGAGTAAAAAAAATGCAGTCATGACGTCTATCCACACTTGTGCAAATAGTACAAGACGTCTATCCACTAAGCAGTCATCTTTAATCTATATCATATTCATTGAAATAAGTTTATTGCATATAACATGAATATTGACTAAACAAAAATCTGTTCAAAGAAAGTTCGTCATTGAAAAGTATGGCATATGAAAAAGTGACCTCAAAATGTTGCAGGCATAATCCAGAAAGGAGTAAACCAAGGACTGGGTACTTTGGGGCATGGCAAATGTGTGGCCACAGTTCCTTCCTCCTTATCAAAAACATACAAACACTTGTAAGTAGGAGTTGACCTTCAACTCCTTCAATGGTTGGGAGGCCATACACCATTTCTCTGCTTTGAAGAGTCTTGAGGCTTTGGAAGTTGAGATGCCCGAGCCTCTTGTGTCATAGCCAGAGGAGTTCACCTCTTCGACCTTTAGAGCTTGAGTGTTCAAGTAGTGCAGTGAGAGAGGAAAACTTCTGTTGGGTTGCATCTTGACTTTGGCCACCAGGTTGTTGAAACTCCTATCATCATAGATCTTTGTTGTTTGATCACCAAAAACTAGAAAATAACCGTTAAGGAGCATTTAACCTACACTTAACAGATTATCCTCTAGACCCGGTACAAGCATTACATTATTGATGTATCTTTTTCCTTTCTTTGTATTTACAGCCAAGATACCCTTTTCTTCAGATTTTATAATATTCCTATTTTCCATCTTAACACTACCAAGATAGGATGTGTCTAAGTCTATCAACAGTGACCGGTTCGCGGTCATGTGGTTACTACAGCCACTGTCAATATACCAAAGACTACCATCATTATCTTTTCCTCCATGACAAGCAAAGAAAACATCACCTTCGCCGTCCTCTTTTTGGTTTGCAAAGACTTTCCGGCAATTTTGGTTTTGAGTTCCTTGAATCCTGCACTGCTCTTTGGTATGCCCAAATCTGGAGCAGTTGGTGCACTTGGGCTTCCCCTTGAACCAGCACTTCCCTTGATGAGACGTGTCGCAAGTTCTACATGTGGATTTGCTACCTTGTTGGGAGTTGTCACTTTGTTGTTGTTGTTGTTGAGGCTTTGGAGCAAAATTGGGCTTGCCTCCTTTCTTCTTCTTCTTTTGTTTCTGGCTCCTTTGTTGATTTGAGCTCATGTTGAAGCTTTGGAAGGCTCTCTCCATGGTTAAAGCTTCATTCCCCTTCTCAAGCTTTTGGTCAAACGCCTTGATGGATGCGATTGCCTCTTGTAGTGAAAGCTTCTCTATATCTTTTATTTCTTCTATCACACTTACAATAGGGTCATATCTACTAGAGAGAAATAATAATTTTTTGAACTACTCTTTAATTTGTTACATCTTCACCATATGTTTTTAATTGATTTATAACATTGGTGAATCTAGTAAGAAAATCATCGAGTCTTTCTTCTACTCTCATAGAGATTTGCTCAAACTCTTTTCTAATAGTTTGAAGCTTAACCGCTCGTACCTTTTCACTTCCACGGTACTCTTCTTGGAGGATGTCTCATGTCGCCTTTGCTGTCACCTCGTAGGAGATCATGGGGAAGATGGAGTCGGAGACGGCATTTTAGATCAACCCGAGGGCTTTGGCATCCCTCATGTAGTTGAGCTTTAATGTCTTCTGCTCCGTCGGGGTGAGACAGTCTTCATCTTCTGGCACCTCGAAACATTTCTCCACCAGCTTCCAAAGGTCATGCGCTCTGAATATCATCCTCATCTTGATCCGCCAAAAGTCGTAGTTCTCTCTGGAGAAGATCGGTGTTCATATCTCGCCGGAGGTAGGTTTTGGATCGGACTCAGTGACTATTGGGTCAACCACTTGAACCCGAGATGAAGTTGGAGAATTGACGGTTATATCGGTCATTTTGAGGAGGCTATTTGGAAGAGTTTTGGTAGTGGGTGTTGGTGTTTTTGTAGAGGTAGAGTTTCTTTACACTCAGTTGTCGTAACAAAACTCTGATACCATGTTGTAATTTTGAACTGAGTAGTGAAGAAAAACTTTGGCTAAGGCTAGTATGATAGAGAATTAGAGAGAGAGAGATGTAGAAGAAGATAGAGAATTTGGTGCTTTTTTTCATGCATGGGTTTATATAGACTTATACATGACCCTTCATACTCTACACATTTACTTTCATAGAATACAAAGAATCATCTCTTAGAATACCACCCCACTTATTATACTTTGACTCTTAGGATTCTCTTCCACCTAGGATATCATACTATGGCTCTTGGGTAGTTTAGATTGCTAAACACTGATTAGTTCAACACTCCTCCTCTGGGGTTAGCAGGTTTAATACTCATTAGTTATCGAAGCGTGCAAAAGCGATCATTCGGCAGAGCTTTGGTGAGAATGTCTGCAGCTTGATCTTCAGTTTTGCAGTAGATGACCTCCATCTCCTTGTCCACGATCGCGTCCCTGATGAAGTGGTAGTTTCTCTTGATATGTCTTGTCCTTTGGTGGAAGACAGGGTTCTTTGCTATTGTGATCGCTAACTTGTTATCGCAGAGGAGAGGAGTAGGCTGCAGTTGTTTTTCACCAATGTCTTCAAGCACATCTCTCAGCCACTTAATTTGTGATGCTGGTTGAGAAGCCGCCATGTACTCGGCTTCTGCAGTTGATAGTGCCACAGACTCCTGCTTCATCGACGCCCAGGAGAACACACCTGATCCGAGTGTGAAGTAGTATCAAGAGGCATCTTCATGTCATCTTCATCACCTCCCTAGTCACCATCGCAGAATCCGAATAGCTTTACTGAGGAGTTCTTCTCAAAATGGATCCCAAAATTCTAGGTGTCTTGGATGTACCTAAGGACCCGTTTGGCAGCTCTCATGTGCACTCTTGTTGCATAATGCATGAACATGCTTAAGAGACTTGAGGCAAACATGAAGTCAAGTCGAGTATTAGAGAGGTAGAGGAGACTCCTTATGATACTTCTGTAGAGGTTGAGGTCTTCTCCTTCGGTACTGTCTCCCTTCTTGAGTTTATCACTGACCACCAGTGGGGTAGAGATGGGCTTGTAGTCTGCCATGCCGAACTTCTTCAAGATTGATTGTGCATAGGCTTGCTGATGAATGATGATGCCATCTTCGTCCTGCTGGATCCCCATGCCAAGAAAGTGGTGAAGGAGGCCTAAATCTGTCATCTCGTACACCTCCATCATGTCTTTCTTGAACTCATGCATAAGCTTCTCACTGTTGCCTTTATAGATAATATTATCTACATATACAGCTACAATGAGAATATCTACCTCATCTCTTCGAATGTAAAGTGTGGCTTCACTAAGGCTCCTTTTGAAGTTGTGTTGGGTGAAGTAGGAGTTGACCTCTTCATACCACTCCCTTGGTGCTAGCTTGAGACCGCAGAATGCCTTGTGGAGCTTGTAGACTTTATCCTCGGCTCCTGCAACTTCGAACCGTTGCGGTTGATGGATGTAATGCCGACTTCACATCGAGCTGGAATACCTTCCACCCTTGGTCAGCAGCTAGAGCAATCAAGAGACGAATTGTCTCTAGTCTGGAGACAGGGGTAAAGGTTTCATTGAAGTCCACTCCGGGCTTTTGTGAATAGCCTTTCGCCATAAGCCATGCCTTCTTCTTGTTAATGGACCCGTCAAGGTTCAGCTTAGTCTTATAGACCCACTTGATGCCGATGATTGGCTTGGCTGCAGGTTTCTCTACCATCTCTCAGGTGCCATTTTTCTCTATCATGGAGATCTCCTCCTGCATGGCTTTCTTCCAATCTTTTTCTTTGATGGCTTCTTCAAATGACTCAGGCTTCAATATACAAAAATTACATGAAGCGTAAATCTCATTAAGATTTCTGTATCTTAATGGAGTTGTACCTGAGGAGGAGGAAGAACTAGGACTAGAGTTGGATGGTGTGCTTGAGGAGCTAGCACTTGATCTTGGTGTGGTTGAGTCGGAGCTTGTTGAACTCGAACCGTTTTGTGGAGTTTGCACATCTGGCTCTGGATCTGGATCTTGGGTGCTCTCTGAATCTAGGTAGATGTAGTTTGTGGGCACCTGCTCTTCCTTCTTGAGACCCCAATTCCACTTGGCTGATTCGTCAAAGACCACATCCCGTGAGATGACGATCTTTTGAGATTTCGGGTTGAAGAGCTTGTAGCCCTTCGTATGGCTTGTGTATCCCATAAAGATACACCTTCTCGTGTTCTCCTCCAGTTTGGATATCAACTGGCCTAGGATGTGAGCAAAACAAACACAACCAAAAACCTTAAGGTGGTTTAAGGAAGGTTTTCTACTTGAGAATGCTTCGAAGGGGGTCTTGTCCTCCATTGCTCTTGTTGGACACCGGTTGAGAAGGTACATTGCGGTGTTGACTGCTTCTCCCCAAAACTTGTAGGGAAGGTTCTTCTCATGTAGGAGACTCTTGGCCATCTCCACGATAGTTCGGTTCTTCCTTTCTGCCACTCTGTTCTGTTGAGGAGTGTATGGGCATGTGGTTTGCTTCTCGATGCCAAGGTTACTGCAGTAGTCCTTGAACTCTGCTGAAGTGTACTCTCCACCCCGATCACTTTGAATCTTCTTGATCTCCAAGTCTGTTTGTCTTTCCACCATCGCTTTGAACTTTTGGAAGATGGTGAAAGCTTCTGATTTGTGCCTTAAAAAGTAGACTCATGCCATCCTGCTAAAGTCATCAATAAAAGTGATGAAATATTTGTTGCCGGCCAGGGACTCCATCTTCATTGGACCACATAGGTCCGTATGGATCAACTCCAAAGGCTTTATTGCACTCCGTGCTCCTTCCTTTGGGAACTCGCCTCGATGCTGT